TAGCGTCCTTGCTCCTAGTAGCGATGCCAGGAGCCCCTAGTAGCGTCCTTGCTCCTAGTAGCGATGCCAGGAGCCCCTAGTAGCGTCCTTGCTCCTAGTAGCGATGCCAGGAGCCCCTAGTAGCGTCCTTGCTCCAAGTAGCGATGCCAGGAGCCCCTAGTAGCGTCCTTGCTCCTAGTAGCGATGCCAGGAGGCCTAGTAGCGTCCTTGCTCCTAGTAGCGTCCTTGCTCCTAGTAGCGATGCCAGGAGCCCCTAGTAGCGTCCTTGCTCCTAGTAGCGATGCCAGGAGCCCCTAGTAGCGTCCTTGCTCCTAGTAGCGATGCCACGAGCCCCCTAGTTGGCCAGTGTGTTCTTTTTGGAAGTTAGCCTTTGTATCTACGAGCTGATTCGCGGTCCAAAGGCCAGGCCAGTCGCGGTCTGAAACGTTCTTGACAGAGACACAACCGAAGAATTGCCTCCTTGTGCAGGGTTGCTGACAATGATGCAACATGCTGCCCAAACTTTACACCACTATTTAATGTGTGCCGTCCACTCGCTCAGAGCCAGCGATGCTGACGTTAGGACATGGAGGAAAGGCAAGAAACTCCTGCAGCTGGACTGAAGAAGCTGTCAAGCAAAGTGGAGGCAACTGCTTTGAGGGAAGAGTGCATGTTCCCAATGTTCCCATTTCTCATTGGAGGAAATGCAGCTTGAACTGGGGGCTCCTTGGGGAGACAGCAAAGAAACAACATCAAACGCGGAGGACGTTTTAAGTTGTTTATGATGGAGCGCCCTTGATGTGAGTAATTGAGTAATTAGATGAGACCTAAGCCTAAGCCTTAGCATTTGGAGTCGGAAGACACAGAAAGATATAAAGTCCATTATCATTAGCATGCCTTTGGTGCTGCACCTGCACCTGTGATGTAAATGGAGGAGCCTCATCCCGCTGAATGTACAAAAAAGATGTAAGCAGTCTATTTTGTCAACAGCTGGCCAGGCCTTAGACGAAGAAGTGGCACACCTGGTTCAAGCACAGGCACCAACTGATGTTGCATTGTTTGAAGCAACTGGGACAGACTGAGACCATTTGGCCGTTCAATTTGGCTTGCTTGTTATGGCTCGAGAATTGGTTTACAGTACATTTGATACCCTCATAGACACCAGCCAGTTTGACGAAATGTTGGCTAAGATATGCTAAGATCATGTAGAGGTGCGAAATGTAAGTGATCAGCAGCCGAATTTTATTGGTTATATGATGCTATATATTTTTATCGATGTTTGTCATCGACGTGTGCTGAAAAGTGCTCGTGGGTCCTCGGTTGCGGATAAAGGCTGCCCTGGCTGTGTTCCAAAAACAATGCCCTTCTTTGACTTTCTACCTTCTACATCCTTCTATCCTATCCGCTTCTGGCTGCAGAGATGTCAGATGTTTCAAAGGCGGCACAAGACCGGGCACGTCATTTTGAGGCAGGGCACAACATCCATTTCAGCATTTTGGTGTTGTGTGTGTGTGGCTTTGTATTTGCGACATGTTCAAGCCGTCAGCTTCATGCTCACCAACGAAGCCTTGCCGTTTTGGCTCGCTCATAATGTTTAATCATATCAAAAGTATGGTGTATAAGGTGTATATATAAGATATGTATAGTTGTTTTTTGAATCTTCGATTGCACTGGTGCCAAGGTGGGCCAGCCGTCGAAACAACCCCCTCAAGCTGAAGGACTGGTGAGTTCCCACTGGACTGCCTCTTCTGGGCAATGCCAGGTGCAGCAGTGACAGGCTACGACCGGCTAGTTGAACACGCAAGGATTCCCACAAGCACTTGTTCTTCGGACTTGGCGAAGACGGCGAGGGCGATATTGATCACCCAAGCACAACACTAGACACCACCACAGAGACAAACACAAGCAGCAAATAGAGTGCAAACCTGCCATGTCGTGCTGCCCCTGGTTGGATATTGTTTTTTGCTCCTTTGCTTCTTGGCACGGATGAAGGGTCCTTGTCATGTTGAGCAAAATTTATGGCAGCGATGAATCGCTGTTTTGTGTTAGACCTAGGTTTTCTGTTGAAGAGGGTCATACATGTAGCTTACCCTTCAGTTTTGAAAACAACACCACCAGACCAGACAACCATGTGCAGCATTCTCACATTGCAGGACTTCCTGCAGTCATAGACACTTGGTCCGGCTTTGAAATGGCCTAGTCCCGTTTGAAGCAGGTTTTGAAAACATGTTTATATATATATACACATACTGTGTTTGTGTCTATGTGTTTGTATGTGTATATATATATATAAATACTTATACACTTGTCGTTTGACCCATCCATCCCCAAGTCGTGGTGGCAACAATCCCTTCACCGCAAAAGGTCACATCATCCTAGAGCCCTGGTTTAGCAGCGTTTGGGGTATGTGATTTTGTTTCCACGGCTTTGAGGCCCTGCTGCTGAGCATTTGCGCGTTCTGCTTGCGCCCAGATGACCGCCGCTTGCTCTCAAACTGCCGCGGGACCCTGCTTGGCCCTTTTGAGAGACTTTATTTAGTTGATTTTGGTTACAGTAACATCACTTCGTATATCATTTTGAAGTCTAAATAGCACCAACTCAACCAAATACTCCTGACTGGCGTCAATTCGGTCGCCGGAGTGACTGTCCACAGATCTTGGCTCAAGCTGAAGGGCTTGGGGAGACCGAGGTGTCGTCCCGGCTGATGTTGTTGTTGCTGCTGTTATCAGGTCAATTGTCAACCACTTGTCAATCTGTCAGCAAGGATCTCCGACTTGCAATTCCAACTGGCATTTTTTGAGTGTAAAGTTCAACAAGTGATTCTCAGGCCATGGTTTCCTTACTTACTTACTTCAGTCCAACAAGGCAAACGAGAATCTTGAGAGGCTTGAGGCTTCCGACCCATTGCGACCAAAAGCAATGGAATGGCCGGCCTGAAGCAGGAATCCTTGCAAGCACCCCAAAGAGCGGCTGACGATTGTGCGTGGGCTGTATGCCGGACATTTGCTGACGTAGTACTGGAATTAGTATTAAGTATATAGTACCTTCAAGATTCTGTAGATTGTTGCGGAGTCTTCAGCCTGACTTCCTGCGTGAAGCATTCAGATTTGAGTCAGATGCAAAGGTGGTCACCAAGATGAACTTTACGGGAGTTCTTGCAGCCTTGGATTGCCAAGGGGGTTCCTTCGATTGAAGTTGAGAGTGGCAGCGTTTGCTTCAAGAGAGGGAAATTACAGTTGTCACATTTGCGGCACCTTTAGTCCACCCTTCCGATGTACAACAATCACAGGACACTGCAAGATACTTCGCTTTCTTTTGGAACTGGCCTTGAGTCTTAAAGTACCTTGAGGTATGTACTGCTTATTCTTTTGCCGCGCCAAGGCTTCTGCACATGTGGCCTGAATTCATTTGCAGATCAGCCTTTCGGCAGCCAAGCCCATTGAACCCACAAGACTTGGAACTCTTTGTTGGAGTTTCCAGTTCATGATTCAAGCCCAGGAGTGAAGTGGATGAAAGCAGATGGCGCCCTCAAGAGGTGCCGATTGAGTTGGGTGTGCAATAGCATGAGACGTGCGTCGAAACAGACATGCGAGCTCATGTGAAAGATGAAGCGTCTTTCAGGTGAAAGACGAGAACGTTTTCCTGCAGACGCCCAGGTTTTCGTGCACTTTGGCTGAAATCGTTCCCCGATGCACACCTTTCGTGTTTCTTTTGTCCCTCGAAAGACCGATCAACTGAGGGCGTGACCCAGAAATTGTGAAACAACACGATGGGCTGTGCCTTGGCATGCTTCCCTAGCTTTTCCAGACTTTGGCAGGCCATTCATTGAGCCATTATCAAATGCATATATATATGTGTATATGTCATATATTTATTTGAGTTACTTAATATTCATTTAATATGTATGTGTATATATTTATATATACATGAAGCTGGTTCGACAAATCTCAAAGGGTACGGCACGGGACTCTTTCACCGTGCGCCAAAATCATTGTCGTTGCATAAGATGATCGCATGTGTTTCAAAGCATATAGTGCCGCATAAAGTCGTATGAAGCCAACTCCGCAAATATCGACGGAGAACGTTGACAATAGGATATATATATATATATGTATATAGTAGAGCTAAGCTTGTGAGTCAGATTGGGTACAGCAGTAAGAGAAGGCGGCTTTGGCGGCAAGGATTTCGGAGGGGGTGGAGCACTGTTGGATGGCCACCGGAGCAGCGGCCGAAACTTCCCCTGTAACAATTTGAAGAGAGGTTGTGTTGTGTCATCTTAGATGCCGCTGCAAAAGATAAACACTCAGTCGGGAATGATTTGGGCAGCTTGCGATGTTTGCACGGAATGCAGCACACGAAAGCCAAAACGCAAGCTGCAAAAGTGTTGTGAACGGAATTTGCGAAAGAAAACAAGATTTTAACTTCTCAGTAAACAAACTCTCAGATGTCTCAGTAGGTTTGGAACAACGCTCACCTAAAAGAACTGCTTCCGCTGTCAAGGCAGTTGGAGAAGTCAGATGCTTTTTTGCAAGAGGAGGACAGCTGAAGTTGATGAATCTATATGAATCCTTCCTGGTGTTGATACCGAATTGCTGGATACTTTTGGCATACTTAGTTTGAGTCAGGCCTCCAACTTGCTTTTGTTTCAGGGGGCGGCATGCTTGCAGATCAAGGTTGAGGAGGCGCGGGCAGAGCTGGTTCCAAACTAAGTTCAGTCAAAAGCTGTAAGATTTAAGCTGGATCATGTTGCTTGACCAATGCACAAATACAACATGCAAAGTTACAATTCCGAGTACACTTGAACGCCTACCGAACATACGTACAAAAAGGTGGGGACAATGGCATGGTGCTTTTTGATTCTTCACCCAAAAAAGCATAAGAATCGCCACATGTCACATGTCACATGATGTCACATGTCACATGATATAAGAACACCCTTGTTCAATATCAACACGGTTGGGTTTGGGAGAAATCTCCACACGTGCTGATACGACTGCACACATGACTTACAAGTCCAACTTGCGTTGGAGGTTCCAGGCAACCATGTTGAGGACAGCCCTCGTTTTGCGCTTGGGATTGCTTTTGGGCCACCCCAAAACATCCCAAAAGCGGCCAGGACAGAACTGGCTCGAAAGTCTCCAAAAGCACAGGGCGATCTCACCTCGCACCTGGCCAGCTGATCCGGAAACACTCCAGCTTCGGCACCTTGGAAGTATTGTGAGGGATGAGCAAGGGATGACGGCAGAAAACGTGTGAGAGAGAGACTACAGCTGCCCTGTTCCGCAGCTTTGCTGTAGGCTGTACCGTTTTCCAAATCAGAACTGCTCTCAGGGTTGGCACAGCTTGGCCGGCCAAGGTTAGGTGGAAGTTTATTTGTTCTAAACGCTTTTGGCTCAAGATGCCTCCTGCTCGATATCAGAGAGGCGTTGCATCCTTCGAACCATGGGTTGTGGACAGAGTGGCGGGCAGACCGCCTCAGCCAAGAATAGTCAAGGAGGTCAGGCCAATGACAAGCAGCAGGCGAAAGAGGAGAATAAACAATACCAGGCCGGGTGTGCTGCCATTGCTATGAAATGCGTTAAAAAACACCCAGCATTGCTGTTTTAGGTCTATATGTGAAAATGTTTGACAGAACGTCTTGAGAGACGAAACCCGGGTCCCGGGTCTCAGTTGAACCCCGACAGGCTACGATGTCCTTTCTCTCGCAGGTCCCGCTCTTCATGAGGCTGCCCAAAGACCAACACCCAATTCTCGCTGCCGCATGTGTGACTCAGGGATTCAAATCAGGACAGACCATCATCACCCAGGGGGACGTTGGCCGAGAATTCTTCATCATCCAATCCGGTGAGGCAGAGGTATTAGTAGGTGAAGGTGGCAGTCAGAAAAAGGTGGCGACCTTGAAGCAGGGCGACTATTTTGGAGAGAATGCTTTGCTCCGAAATGAGCCACGCTCAGCGACTATCAAAGCCAAGACTGAGATCAAGACCTTAAAGATCACACAAGAGAAATTCAAAGAAATGGGATTGAATGAAAAGATCCAGTTCGCCAACCGAAAGGCAGTGGGTGCAGGTGGAAAGCGAGAGCTGGTCGTGAAGCCACCATCCAGAAAGACAAATGAGGAGAGACAATTGATGGAAAGGGCCCTGAAGAAGAACGAAAACATTCAAACAATGGTGACATTGGACGAGCTCCGGGTCAAGCAGATTATAGACATTGCTTGGGGAGAGGATGTCCCCGCTGGAAGCGAAATCATCGTGGAAGGTCACTTGTGTGTGGGGGATGTGTTTGCCTTCGCATATTTGGATGTGCAAAAAAGTCGAAGTCGGATATAGTGTGGTGATTTGTTTAGGGTGCTCTGGTAATTCACTCGAAAAGTCGGACCATGAGCCAGGTGATCTTACTGCGGACTACTTCTACATTTGCCAGTCAGGCCGGGCCGGGAATAATGCATGATCGCGCAGGATGTTTGTTCTCCTTTGTCCAATGGAGTCGAATTCAAATGTGAGGCACCTTCGAGATTTTTGTCACCGACTCGAAGAAGGATAAGAAGCGGAAGCTGGTACAAACAAGAATGCGATTGAATGCCTTGGTGTTTTTTTGAATGCATGGTGCGGCACTGCACTGGGGGAACTCCTTATAAACATCCTTACTTATATTGTAGTCACCAGTTGTTCTTGGAGACTGGGGACTGGGTCTCAGAGCTCCTTCGAATTCCCTTAGATCCCTGCAATCAGCTGTGACCCAGATGTTTCTTTCACTTCCGAGGAAGCTAGTGCAGACTGTGACGTCTGGTGGGAGCTTCGGGGAGTTGGCCTTGCTTTACTTAGTGCCTCGGGCAGCTACCGTGGTGGCCAAGGAGAACTCTTCAGTGTGGGTCATTGACCGCAACTGGCTGAAATTGAGAACGATAACGAGGAAAAGTGTTGGTTGACCTGGTTGTGTGCAACGAATTCGCAGTATTGTGTTTGTTGTTTTCAGATTAGTTATCTATGAACTAAGGTAAGAACTTCAAGGAAATCTTGATGAAGGTCTCCGAGGAGAAGCTCCAGGAGTATGTGAAATACCTTAGCCGAGTGGAGATTTTGAGCAGCTTGCTTGCGGCTGAAAAGCAGCAAGTGGCCAAAGCCTTGATGGAAGTGCATTTCTCCAAGAACGAGGTGGGGGTTCATTCGGGTACATAGAGGGAGGCCTGAATGATCTGCCAGCCAAGTATTAAAGTTTTCGGTAGCGAGCATGTTTCAGTCCAGGCCAAGGGTTGATTTCCATAATTTTGTGCACTCACTCACATGCAGGTGATTATTCAGCAAGGAAATCCAGGAACAACCTTCTACATCCTGTTTGAGGGTGAGGTGGCTGTTTCCATCGATGGCGACGAGAAGGTTCGCTTGCAAGCCAGCCAGGAAAGAGGCACTGCCCAGTACTTTGGGGAGCGCGCCCTTTTGAACAATGAGCCTCGAGCAGCAACTGCACCTCGGAAG